GGAGTGCAATGAACAATCACCTTTTGCTGCACTATATATAATGGATGCTAAGTTTGTAGCTACAAATCTGGCTTAAGTGGAAACAAGATTCAAGATTCGTATTCATCAGGAATTCAAAATCTTCCGCTGTTAAATCCAGGGTCTGCTTCTGTACGTTTGTTCCCACATTGTTTACCTAAATCCATTCAAAAATATTAACGAAAAAGCATATGTTTTAACTTTTAGTCCTACAAGATGGATCCCAAATTGGTTCTCATTCTTGTCATAGTTAGACAAGTTTTAGTATGAAAAGATGAAAAAAGAAGATGTCATTACAAGGATATTGAGTTTGCCATTGAACTGAGAGGAGACAGTAGCTATGAGCTCTTCTCTGTTAACACGAGAGGTGATGTCACAGACCGAACCGGTTACTCTGTATCCTTTTGCGGTCCATTCGTTCAAGGATTCATTGAGTTCAGCTTGGTTCAGAGAACAAGTGTGTACAGTGGCCCCAAGCTCTGCCAACTGCTCCACGATAGAATATCTATATATATATATATATATATATATAATATATATATATATATATGATAGGAATGAATAGTGAGAAACAAAAACAAAAATTTATGCAAGACCTACCCTCTTGTTTTCTGCAATTATTAATCACTATAGTTCATTGATACAACCATGTTTGCTTTGTAGAAATCACCAAAGACTTACAAATCAATTAGCCCCTTTGTTTTTGTTAAAAACTTGAAATTAAGTATAGTATATATATACGTAGTAGGAAGAAAAACTGAAATGAAAAAAAAAAAAAAAAAAGTGGAAGAAGAAGAAGGTAGAAAAGTTACCCGATTCCTTTGGATCCACCTGTGACCAGTGCTGTCATTCCCTGCAAACACCACCTGCTGCTTTTGCTTCCACTGTTTCCCTCACCCATGTTTTTTCTCTCTTCAATGAAGGACATGATATGATGAATTTGCTACATAAATATGATTAATAATTGCAAGGATTAGGTCATATTTCTACTGTTTTCTGTGTGGTATTCTATTTGTGGTAGAGAATTTTTTTTTCTCCCTGCTGAGTCAAAACTTTGAAACTTGGTATGTTGTTGATGCAATATCAAATACGAACTTCGCCTCTAGTCGTCATCCATGATATAACTTTAGTACACTGAATGGTGTCATACTTGTTTTATGTTGTTAGATTCTTAAAATATTGTAATCAGCAAGAATATAAAATGTGCATGATTAGTGTTATCATTGATGCTGTTTGTAAGTGAACTAGAGTTTTATTTTGAAAACTTTTCTAATGAATCAAATCTGCTCCATGCGAATTATTTTAAAGTGTTTTCATAAACTTTTGTGTTTTTCAATCTAGCTTAAAAGTATTTGATTATTTATACATCCTGTACAAATAAAATTAACTAATATCTCAATTATCATAAATCATAGTTATAAGTAATTTTAAATTATTGAATTTTTTATGGATCTCAATCAAATACAAATAACATGGAATGAGTTTTTCTAAAATAGTAATGACAACGGATTAGGTAGTGCCATTACCTGGAAGTAACCTATATTAGGAATATATATTAACTTTATTTTCAAGAATCGCTATCATAAATTTATGAAAGAAAAAAAAAAGTCATTGTAATATATATTGTTCCTATCCAAACTCAAACTCTTTGAATATTTTCCCAAAATATAAGTTTCTTACACAAAACTAAAATTACTTTCCCAAAAAGTCTATATTATCTACTCTAAGATATTAAAAAACAATTAACCAACTTTCTTTACCTTTACCACTTGTTTAGCCAAGCTTAAACTCTCAAAATCACAACTATCACAAAAGAAGTTATTATATATAAAAGTCTCTAATTAACAAATCTAAATATATTTTAAGAAGTTATTATTCTTAAAATAATAGAGATTGATCTTTATGCAAGAAACATCATATGCAAACTCAAACTTTTACATTAATTAAAAAAAAAACATACTAAAAAGTAACTTTGGATCAGAATAAAAGTGTTCTACTTGCTACTAAAATATATCATGAATTCATATATATGATTTATCTCATAAATTAAAAAAAATGTTTGTAAAAATAATGATTTTTTAAAATAAAATTTGAACAATTACAATTTTTTTATTTATAAACCTTTAAACTTAATTAATAAAAATATTGCGACTTCATCATTTTAATAAATTTTACTCAATTAACTCAATAAAAAGTATCAATCAGATATTTCCTCTGATGTAGACTTTGACTTTAGAGTATATGTAAATGGTCCAATATAAAATATCTGCTATACATTCCTATGAATTCTGAACACACCCTTTTACTACTAGCTTTGACAAAGTCTACAAAGGTATTGTGTACAGTGACAATATGCAAACAATCGTTATACATCATACTTTATTGATTTTTTGTTGAAGATCTTATCTTCATCATTCAATCTTTGTTTCACCACCTTTCTATTTTGAAGTTTGACTTTCTCCTAAAACATCATGTCGTCTACAAAGAACTGAAACAAAACTATATAGAAAGTTTGGGAGCTTCATTTCCTTAAAAATTTTACAATTTCAATTTACACACACATATATATATAACAATAACAAGATATAATATATTAAAAATAAATAACTTATATTTTCTGTTAAAAAATGGTCTATGAAAATATTGATCATATATTTCTTTTCAAAACATATTATATTGATCACATCACATGGAAACCATCAAATAATCCTCAATATACTATTTATATAAAAACATAATTCATTACCCTTCTACTTTGTACTTAACAATAAACACAATTGTTATTGATAGATAAAATTATAGTATATTCTATGGAAAAAAGACAACTTCTTTTGTGAAAATGAATTAAAGTTATACAGTTTATTTATTTGTGATGACGTGTAATTATTGTGATATAGTTTGAACTATTTTACATTAGTTTAAAAAAATATATAAAAATTTGATGATACAATACTTATAAATTGTAGTGAATTCTATTTTTGACAACTTCCATTTCAGTGTATTAAAGAATAACCTATAATACCTTACCAGGTAACCCTAATTTCGTCTGCAAACTAACTATACATATGCATGTACATGTACTGCATCAGTATTGATATATACAACGTAAAATTTGAAATGTAATTGGAATATTAATGATAATAAGGTTCTAGATGAGCTAGCATGATAACGTTCATGGCTGGCTATGTTGTGTTGTATGGTTTTCCAGCTGTGAATAATCCTCTGCTTCTTTACTATTTTGCTTCTACATTGCCCAAGTCAAATTCAATGTTCAGGACGGCTAAACACCACAACATACGACACTGTGTTTGACTAAAGCTATCAAACACCAATATGAAATTTTAAATTAATTAACTACTATTACTGTAATCACTTCTCCTAGTTTGTTTAACAGCTTTGATTTATATCTAATTCAATTCTATAAATTCAGCCTATAATATGAGATTTTAGTGAGAATTTAGTGGTAACATTTTTGTTTAATATCCTTCCCAATAATTTTAATTTCTTGATCTATGTCATATTATATAAGTCAACCCCTCATTCTCTCTATTTTTTTTTTCTAGCTATGTTGTTAATGTAAAATATTTATTGATTCTGTTAATATGAATATTTAGAAGAAAAAAATCTGACTCCGGTTCCATTTCTTGTCAACAACACCATTCACACTGATTTCTATTTTACTTAAAATATCTCTGCAAACTAAATAGTATTACTAGTTTTAATAAAAGTAACTAGTTTTAATATGGGACGGGTGAATAAAATATTCAAAATTTCTGACTATTTTCTTAATCAAACGGTCATATGCCATAGACAATTGCGTGATTTCTAAGGTGACCTTTTCATATTGGGAGAGAAACCAATCTGACTTAAAACAAATATTATTTTAGTCTTTCTCCCACAGCTCACCGTATCTATTCTTCTCACAACATTTGTCTTCTTTGTCTTAACTTTCTTCATTTGGATCTTTGTAAGTTAGAACAATTATTATTTTTTTAAATAATTACTATTTCAAAAAAAATTAAATTATTAAGTAGCTTCTAAGCTATTTAACAATTGTTAAAGAGATTCTCAAATTAAAAATAATAGTTGAGTCCTTAATTGTGTACTTTTCTTTCCAATTAATGTCTCAGAATTTTTGAAACTCCTGCAAAATATTATTTTCTGTCAATTTCACTGTCAGAAACTAATCTATGTAGACTACAAAGGACGCTTCCACATTCTACATGTAAAAGCAACATTCTGAGAAGTTCCTTTGGCAGAATCATTTTTTTTCAAGAAAAAACATAAAAGTTAGTCTATTTTGAAACTAAAATCATTGTTTCTTTCCCTTGGAGAAAAAAAACACGAAAAAAGACTGCACGATCCTTTAAAATATGACTCATATGTATCTTTCAGATCCTCACAAACAGTTCTAAAAATTGATTTCATTTATAGTTTAGTAAAAGCAGTGAAGTATGTTTTCTGATCCGTATAAAAAACTACGACATCCACGAGAAGATAGAAATCAGACAACTTAGAAAAGAAGTCACATAACAGGAATATACGGTTAGACGAAGCTACGTATAGTTAATTAAATACATGGTACAAGTTTATAAATGTTAAACAAAGTTGTTTGACAGTAACATGAATTGCGAGTTTGTGAGACAACATTTGAATCTAACGTAGGCCGAAAGCCAGAAGCCAAAATGCAAGTTGTCTTGAATATATATATACTTGACCCAGTAGTTTTTGAGCCTTAAGCTATTTTGTCCTTTGCAACAACTGAAGCTGTAAAACATATTCAGGAAGTTACATTCTCACTACATGGCAGTTTCATAAAATAATAATTACATGAAAGCAGGCCTTTCTATGAGCCACATACATTCAACTTCAACATATAAAACCACCGTTATCTGCTTTTGTTGACCATCTCTTTTCCTATCTACACACTATACTTGGTATTTTTCATTGTTTCATATTTCTTCAAAGTTGAAACTGATCAAATGGAATCTGATCATGATCAGCAAGCAGCAATATCTGAAAATCCCTCTGATGGGGAGGACCAAGGCGCAACTCACGTGACATCCAGGTCCTACGAGTGCAACTTCTGCAGGAGGGGCTTCTCCAATGCACAGGCACTGGGGGGGCACATGAACATCCACAGAAAAGACAAAGCCAAGCTCAAGCAACAACAATCTTCAAATCAACCATCTTTGGACAAGGTTGTCCCTCCACAGGATCAGACCAAGTCTGGTGAAGAACGGAACACGCCAAAATGGAATTGGAATGTGTCTCAAGAAGAACATGCCTCCTCTAGAGCATCTCACACAAGGCAACAGCTTCCACTCTTTGAAGAATCACCAACCAGCAGTGAAACACTGAAGCCACAAGGTCAAAATACCACTGATGGAGCTTTGTTATCTACCCGAGATTCATCGTTGAAGTTAGACCTTGAACTCAGACTCGGACTTGAACCACAGGATTCGTCACCAGAAACGGGTACAAGAAATTTTTTTTGAGTTCGATCCTCCTCACGCTATTGTCTGAAGATGTCCACGAACCCTTTTTTTTCTTGGTGAAAAGAGCTCATAAACTGTTTGATTTTGTTCTCGCGAGTTTACCCTTTGAATTGATTTTTACCATTGCTTGTATTTTATACATGGTTGTAAAATTTACTACTTTTATACAACATTTTCTGTTTTTCTGCAAAATATGTATATGATATTTCTCCTTTGTTCTTGAACTAAATTCATTGCACCACATTCCAGATATTACCTCAAACCCTATATAGATCTAGTCTGTTCACAAGCAGCAATTGACGATACCCTTGCCTGATGTATGGAAATTATGCTTTTCTAATTAATATGATGTTGGTAATTAAGGAGTTAAAACATGAATATCGTCGATAACCTCAGAACAAATTAAATGAGTATTTTTGTTTACATACAAAATTTTATTCTCGATTAGAACCAGGTGATAGCCTTGTTCTTGTTCTCATCGACCACTTAGTGAATCGATAAGAACAAGGCAATCTATTAGCTGTACTTTACAGTATCTTATATACTTTGGATTAATCTACTTATCCAATATACAGTTTAGAATGCTAGCTGACCAAACTATTTATACATATACAAATTCTAAATTCTCTTCATTGACACATTTCAATCATACTTAAATTAATCTACCATTTTACTTTTTCTTCATCCACGGTCTCTATTATTGGTTTCAACTTTTCCATAAGTAATCAAATTGTTATCTTTTGTGACATTCAACATTCAGTCTAACTAGCTTTTTCATTATATCTTTTATGGTTCCAGAAAATGCTAAACTTCTCGTTCTCTGAAATAACTATCTTGTAATCTCCACTTTTCTTATTTTTGATATGTGTAATAGTAGGATATGTCTCAGTGACCACATTTTGTTTGGCAACATTTGACCTGCATGAAGAAATAGTTTACCTAGTGCCAATGTGCACTGGAGAATTCTTTTAGAGATATCAACCTTGTTCTTGTTGTAGGGACACCAACAAGTAACTTTACCACAACGTACAGCTTTTAAGTCAGCTTCTTCCATTTTTGTAAGTTTTTCGTACAATGTTTCTAGGTGCCCATAGTATATGATAAAACCTATACATTTAAGCTTAGAATATTCCATTTTTGTAAGTTACTAGATATGAACCTTAAACACGATTGCCTTGTCTCTTCACATCAAGATATGATTATTAACATGATTACAGCCAATATATGATACAAAAAAAGGGAACACATCACATAAACCTATTCAACTAGATGACATAGAAACCAGTTGGAGTCCATTGTGAACATTATATAGAACTGTGACTTGAAAGATTAGAATTTTATATACATATATAAATTTAGAAGTATATGGATTGAAGTATCCTAAATACTCTACTTAATAATATTATTCTTTTTGCAGATAAAAAAACTAGATGACATCCAACACAATGAAGTCTTTTTAGCATTTATATGAAGGACTCATTTCTCAAGTCTGTATAGATAAGTACTTAGTTTCTAATATTTTTCTTCAAATGCAAACATTTACTTTGGAGTTTGTCGGTATTGTAATATGAGATTATCTTGTTGAGTTTTGTTGAAGATGGATCGATCATTATCCTTCACATGTTTCACTTCACTACAATACATCTGAATCCTTAACACCTTTCTACTAAGTTGGCAATCTGTTAAGGTCTCATGTCTTACAGCAAATGCAAGAACAGAGAAAAAATATTATAGTGGAAGTTGGGGCTTTTAATCTCTTTCAAAGTTTACAATTTCAACCTGTTCATATAAACAATCATATACTGACATTAATTTAAATTGCATTTTAAAATTAAACAAAGATATTTAAACTTTATTTTGTGATAAAATATATTACCATTAATATTTATTATTGTTATATATCATTGTGAAGATAATTATTTTATACTTTTTACGTAAATGTTATATTTCGTTTATGCCTCATAAAACATTGACATAGTTATTATTTTTAATTTTGAGATGATATGTGTTTGTTCTTGCTATATAATTTTGTCACGAATTATTTGTGAATTAAATATTATTTATTAAGCTTTCTTATATGGTAAATTTAATTTGAAAAAAAAACACACACACACAAACATATATATAAAGAAAAAAGGTAAATTCATCATTCAAGTCTATTCAATCCCTTTACCATTTTGTCCCTACCAAGTCTAAATGAAGAAACATTACCACTTATTATAACTGTTTCTTCATATAAGCATTGACTTTAAGAGGTTTTTTAGACAATATGTCCAGAGATGATTGTTGTACATTATTGTTGATCTTGTTAGAGATCTCATATTCATCACTCACATCACAAAAATTCTTGTAAATGTTTAATATTTTTGGTCTAAAGTTTTAGTCAAGGTGTCATTTAATGTGATAGTCAACAAAAATAGAGACACAACTACATTGAGAGTTGGGAGCATTAGTCTCCTTTGGATTACTACAATTTCAATTATTTTATGTTATAATATATAATATACTGATATTAAGAAATAAGTTATATTTTTGTAGTTAAATAAAAATATTTAACTTTTACTTGTTTTGGTTTTTCCATAAAATATTTTCATTACAATTACAGTTATATAATATTCCTTGTTTTACATAAATGCTCTTATTATAATTTGTAATATAGAAATACTAATTATTTTCTATTTTAAAATAAATGATTTAGTATAATTATTTGTAAGGTTTTTATTATTACTCTTTTCTTCTTCTAGAATTTTATTATGAATGATTTATGACTTAAAGACTGTTTATTATCCTTTCTCAATGTGATAAATTCTATCGTAAGAGAGAAAATTCATCATCCAAGCTTATTCAATCATGAGCGTCTCATATAACAATCAAGTCTCTTTTAAACATTTTTGTTTTTCAACTTTTACAACCCTCATATTCAACTATTAGTAACATAGAAGCAGTTCAAAATTTGAAAAACCTAAAACAAATTTTTATTTAGTAATAAAATAATTTATATTAAAATATATTTTATTTAAAATTCATTTATTGAATTTTGTATTTAAATATTCTTTTTTAATATCTATAAAAAGTAATGGAGTGAGTTTCAACTTAATATTGTTATCTTTTGTAAAATTTTTTTTTCAAAATCTTCATATTATTCCGGAAATGCTATTTATATTTATGAATTGTCATCTCCAGTTCTCATAATTTTTTATTTTCCTAAGAGCAAACCTTCACATTCATGAACCATTTTTTGTTTATAAGTCAAATATCTCTATTTCTTCACATCACCATAACTTGAATAAAATCAATACGAGACAACAATTATCACCTAAGTCTATTCAACTAGGTGGCGTGTCAGACAACGATTAAACCCTTTGACATTTTTTCTTCTAACAAGAGAACAATTAAACTCATTTATTTTTTTCCCTATTTTTTAATTTGTCTTTGTAATATAATGTAATCATTATATACTACTATTGGACTTTGTTAGAAATATCTTTTCCGTGACGACAGCCTACAAGAATAAAGTCATAGAATGTTTCCTCATATATTGACTTTAATATTATAATTTTTACAACTCTTTGAAGATCTCATATTCATCATTCATATGTCTTGCCTCACTATAATATCTACCAATCCTCGATGCCTTTGTATTTTGATGAGTGTAGTATGAAAAAAAGTTTATGAAATCTAACTATTTCATGATGTATAGCAGTTTCTCAAAGTATTAGGTACATTTTTTTACATTCACATTCATCATCAACATTATAATAAATTATGTAATTATCCATTAAATTTGATTGGTAGAACAAAACTTTTGTTTTATTAATAAATTTCATACATGAATTTTAATTTTTATTATTGATGGATATATTTTTATTAGTAATTTAAATTTTTTTTATCGATGGATTTGTTTATAAATTTCATTGATAAGATGGATATCAAAATTTTAGTTTTAAGTTGTGACCATTTCGTATTTCGCGATAAAATCAATCTTTATCTGATTTTGTTTTCAAATTTTGTTAGTAAATATGTTAATAAATGATTTTTTTAAGTTTATTGGAAAAATCTATTAATATATAAGTTTGCCGATGTATTGAATTTTTTAAAGATTTGTTGGTAAAGATTTATTGAATTTTTAAAAAAATCCATTGGTAAAGAAGAAAAAGAACTGAATACAATCATTTTATTAATAGATTTATTGTTGTTGTAATTTTGTTTTATTGACAAACTTTTGTTGTTAATATTGATAAACTTTTTGTTCTATAATTTTGTTTTATTGACGAATTTGTATTATTACATTAAATTTTGTTTGTTGATAATTTTGTTTTTTTTCTCATTGTCAAGAAGCTTATAGGTAGTAAACTCGCATTCTATAACATACATATAGGCACTCATTTTTTAAAATATCTCTCATATATATTGACTTTAACATTAAAATTTATTAAGTGTTATAATACATTTATCATCCACAACTATTCAATCTCACTAGATGTCTTATCAGTCACATGTTACCCTAACAACAAGCCAAAGTGTCATGAATCAAAAATATCATACAATATAGAAGACAACCAAATGGTCATTAAGTATGATATTCTTTCAAATAAATACGTCTTTTTATGACATTTATTTATCACTTGTCTAATACAAATCAAATGTATATTTCTTCATATGAAGTAAGTTTAATATTTTTCTTATAAGAAGCTCATTATTTAAACATAAAGAGTCTAGTAGAGAATGTAATGTCCAAGCACTCATTTGTATAGATTTTCTTTATCGATAAAAAAATATATTAATACTAAAGTACTAGATACTTTAACCTTTTTACAAGACTATTTACAAAAAAACAAAAAAAAAATTAATATAACTTATAAATGTCATTTTCTTTAATTATCAATAAAATTGATGGAGTATATATAAGCACTCATCTAAGTGACAAAAAATTAAAATGAAATAACATTCAACATTGGATTAGTTTATACTATATAACAAGTAATAACTTAAGCCAAGAA